GCCACACATACATTGATACTTGATATTAACTATTACTTAACACGAAATTGCGCTCACGTAACCAATTTTAATTATTTTTATTGACTCGAGATGGAATGGGAATAACGGGAATGCATATAACGTACGGTTTACTTTGAACAGAATTGGAGAACATAAAAGAAGAGAAACGCGAAACCGACAGTGAGGAACCGGCACCCCGCGAGTCGGAACAGCTGAATCGGGGAACTGGCACCCCGCGAGTCGGAGCAAGTATCAGCGAGTATCAGCAAACATCTTCTGTGTTTTTCATTTCTCACCAATGTAAAAGAAATATTTAAACCGGAAAAGATAATTTTTTACCGAGCCATCTCCCGACCTTGCGACTTTCCTCATACGTTGTATAAGAAACTAGTTCCTTCGTACAGGGCGTGTAAAAGCTGCGATCGTCGTTGTCATAGTTTTTCCGATCAGCTGATGCTGTTGGCTTCAAACGGTGCGATTAATTTTAACACCGCATCAGATCCTTATCGCCAATTGTATCACGAGCAGTTTCCAATGAGAGATCATGTGTTTTTTAAGCATTGGATACCAGTGGCGTACCATCCGGAGGATTTGTCGTCGGGGACAACCATTGGTTAGGAGACCGAATAGGTTGCAAGCTTTTCTCTGAAAATCGCACGGTATTTCTATCGGAGAAAATACGAAAGAACAATTCCATATACCGGAACCCGAATGAAGAGTATTCACCTTTTGAGTTTCGTTTTTTCATTGCACGTGCGCGGCACAATAGCACTGTGCAATATCATATAGAAGTAGAAGACGAAGTAAGCAAATGGATATTTTAGAATTAGTATCTCGATTGTATATCTCTAACGATTCAAGTTGCAATGCGAATTACAATCAGTATGTAGCCAGTTTGTGCGGTCAATTAAGAATTTATAGCATTAAAATAATATTGATAGATGATATCATTAATATTAAAATATTTCGTGAAATTTACGTGCGAATTTTTACGGTCACGACGGACGATCAGAAAATTGAGAAACTGCATCCATTTTAGGATTTGATCACGCTTGGACTTTGCTTACCGGCATCCTGCAGCATAGGCGATGTTGCCACTATGCTCGATAAAGTATTTCGTAATGAGACACTTTTCATTGGAAAACTTTTTAATATATACCTCAAGCTCATCGAAGTCTCCGATTTGATGGATGATCGTCAATGGCTACTCTCTGCGAAAATGATCTCCATCATGTACGTACATTTCAAACTCGTAATTTGAGACTTGAATTTTTGTCACTTCACATATATATTACATAGGTCAAGATCTGCATTCGATAAAATGCCATGTAAGAACTTTAAAATTCTGATTACAGAGGAGTTTTATTATCGTTGGGTGCTACCGTAATAGCGGCCACAATATACGAGGTTTTCCTCCATCGAAAGAGCTTAAATAAAGAAAGGGGGAAGCTGACGTTCGAAAGTACCAACGCGATAGGTAAGCCACACATACATTGATACTTGATATTAACTATTACTTAACACGAAACTGCGCTTACGTAACCAATTTTAATTATCTTTATCGCCTCGAGATGGAATGGGAATCACGGGAATGCATATAACGTACGGTTAACTTTGAATAGAATTGGAGAACATAAAAGAAGAGAAACGCGAAACCGACAATGGGGAACTGGCACCCCGCGAGTCGGAGCAAGTATCAGCGAGTATCAGCAAACATCTTCTGTGTTTTTCATTTCTCACCAATGTAAAAGAAATATTTAAGCTGGAAAAGGGTGGTAATAATCTGCGAGTATTCTACGGCTTGAAAACATTGACAATGGTATGGATTATTCTGGGGCACGTAGTGTTCTACGCATTTCATGTTACGAGTAAGAAACGAATTTCAACGATGTTTTAATTTTACTACTCCGATCCAATTTCTGACCTACCATGTTTTTTATAATTCAATCACTCCTGTACACAGGTAACAATTGGCTTGTATTTATACAGGCTGAGAGTTTACACTTTCAAATCTTACGCAACTTCACATTATCGGTGGATGCATTTTTCTTTATGAGTGGTTTTCTGTTATCACATTCATTTCTGAAGGAACGGCGAAAATATCAGGGAATTCCGCCTATAGCAAAGAGGATGAACGAATTTTTTCAAAAGATTGTCAAACGATATATAAGGTATAGTACAGTATCAATGCATGATTAATTCTATCGATGAGATTTCTATGATAATAAAATAAATATATTAACTTCGAAGGATTACACCTGCATATTTCGTCGTTATATTAATCGCGATATTGAATTTTACCTGGGACGATCATGTCTCAGTACTTCTTCCCGTTGAGCATCCAAATGCCAAGTGTTCCAAATATTGGTGGACTAACATACTTTACATCAACAACTTGTTTAGATGGGATGAGCTAGTACGTATACTTTCTCAGATAATCTATTGCAAACATCGTTCGCGTTAGTACAAAAGAATTGTTTCGGAGAGAAGTACTGTTTCCAGTGTCTCACATGGAGTTGGTACCTGCCCAACGATATGCAGTTCTTCGTATTTGGCAGTTTTCTCTTAACTTTATCGATCACGTGAGTTTGTAATTTCGTTGTTTCATTTCTTAGAACCCAATTTCACCTGGGCTCTAAAATCGACTGTTTCAGGCATTACAATATTGCCGTGGGCATAGGCATTTTTACGCTACTCTCATCGATAGGATCACTCGTTTACACGGGGTACACTATTAATTACCAGCCTACGTAAGCATACAAAATGTTTAACATTCTTTATAACATAAGGAATTTGTAAATATACGTTACATTAACTTTCGTAGACTAGACGGACAATATAGAACGATGTCAGAGATTTATATACGACCATGGTGTAGAATACCGCCATATCTCATAGGAATGGCCACATGTCACCTTCTTACAAAATGGAATTACAAATTGCATTTTTCAAAAGTAATGTATACTTTGTTTGTTCGTTATACTTATATTTTTCTGCATCTTTCAATAATGTGATTAATTTTATGTTTCAGATAACCTTAATCGTTGGTTGGTCCGTGGCAATTTTATGTAATTGTTCGATTCTCTTCGGACTCGCGAACAAGAACATATCTTTAGGTCTCTCCGTTCTTTATCTGGCCCTCAGTAGAACATGCTGGACATTAGGTATTGCCTGGCTCGTAGTTGCGTGCACTACGAATAATGGCGGTAAGTCGATATTCTTCATGTCACTCAATAATACGTTAATGTCATTCTAGTTATCGTAAAGATACTCTTTGAGTAATGCGAATTATTTAACATTTTGTGAACTACACTCATGTATATCTGTTACGTTTGCAGGTATCGTGAACAAAATCTTATCGCTGGATATTTTCGTTCCTTTCAGTAAATTAACGTATGGCGTTTATCTCATAAATTGTATTATTATTCTTTCGTTATATTCGTTAGATAATTATTCTCTCTTTTTTTATTACACCAATATTGTGAGTATGATAAGGTAGTTTCATTCGAACAATTTCAAAGTAATATGAATCCTATGTAATAATAACATATTATGTTTTTTCAGACCTATACTGCCATTACAGTGATTATTTGTAGTTTCACTGCCGCTATTGTTCTGTCCGCAACAGTAGAAATGCCGTTTATATCACTCGTCCGATTGTATAGTAATCCGGCAAGTATGAAATAATCATATACTAATACATATTTTTAAGTCCCTCAGTTAATAAAGTGATGTAATTACTCTCTCGATATATGCACTTTGTCTGTCTGTCCGTCTGCCTGTCTCTCTCAATCTTGAAACATTTCTATTTATTATGATGTTCTCTGGAACCACAATTAGGAAAATAGCGTCTGTTGTTTAACGTAGATGTCCAGCATTATATTGTATCGTATAGTGTATTACATATCTTTCTTCCTTTCTTTCCCCTTTTTTCCCATTTCTCTCCCTGTCTATTTTGTTGAAGTGATTCTCACTTCTAGGAAAACTCTACATCTTCTCTAGTGTTTAGTTATCTTAGTCCTCGAAGCCATCGAAAATCATTTTGAAGGGTCTCTCAGCCTCATAGCCTTTTCTAGGAACATAGGAACATGTCATGCACGGAAGATGTACCGGGCTATAGACGAACCAGTTCTCGTAATTATATAAATACCCATCGAGCTGTTACGTAAACTTGAAAGTTATATGATGAAAACAAGATAGCTAAGCCGTAACGTTTTTAATTTAAACTACATTTTGATATCTTGATATTAAAAAATCTAATTATATTTGTTACATGGTTTAAAAAAACACTAATTTTGTAAATTAAAAATTTAACAAATTCATTAATATAACAAACTTAATATTTATTTATATATGCATATTTAATATATATTATATATTCCAAAAAATTATTTATATTTAAACTTTTTAAACATTTATATACACTACAATGAAAACTTCACTGATTTTAAATTATTTAATATTCATAAACCTAAATATTAATTTATATTTATAAATTTTTTTAAATTTATATTTATTAATTTTATTTA